ACCTAATAGCATAAATAATCCTAAAATGAGTTTCTTCCAACTTATCTCCCCCTGGACTATGATGCTGACTTGAAAAGACAACATAATTTCCAAACCAGTGGAGGAAAGAAAAAAACCCAAAATCAATAAGTTGTTGTCCCTGGAGCACAGATGCCCTGGCAAGGCCAAAGAAATTAAGTCCTGAGATTGCTGTTGCTGTTTCCACCTTGTCCTGCAGAGACACAGCCAGGGATAAACATATTCTTTGTGTCAATATTTCTGTAGTACTGAGAGAACTTACAGTCCTTATCTGTGAGTGTCAAGGACTGCTAAGTTAATGTGATCATAACATTACTGGAGAGTCTGACAGGCTTTTTTGTTCCCTCTGTAACTGTTCTGGTGCTGAAAGCCAAAGCCCAGTAGAGCTCAGCTGGATGTGGCCATGGGCTTTGTGGCACATGGAAGGGGTCCATCTGCAGGAGACTAACTTTAAAAAACCCTCAAACAACACACAAAACCAACAAATAGAATTTGAACTTCCTTTTTATTTATTTGTTTTTTTTACTCTGCTTGATTTTTTTTGCTTCTTTCAACCTTGATTTGTAAATCAGATGGAAATGTGTGAATAATCAATTCAGGCTGACTAACCCTTGTTTTGCCAGGTGGCTGGTTGGCTCATCAGATTACTAATAGTTTGCTGCTGCAGTAAATGGGAAATAGCGAGGGCTGAGGCAGAAATACCACAGGTGACCTCTAAAGACAGCAAAGCACTGATCCAATGCAACACAATCCCTCTTTTTGTCCATCCATGAAGTTCACTTTGCTTTCAAGTCCCCTTAAAAATGAGGAGTAATTTGTAACACAGAACTGTGCAAGCAACCTAAAAAAGAGGAGAAAATCCGAGGCAGGAAAAGTCAGCCTCTAGAGCACGAGGAAAAGCAAAGTATGAGCAGAGCCAGGCAATTCTTAGGTGTAAACTGCTGAGTGTGGTGTGGAGGAACCTTTGCTGCCTTTCCCACCTTCAATGGCTCTGTGCTATGTGGCACCAAGCAACTCATGAAGAGCTCAGCCTATGGCTCCTTTTTAACTTTATAAAGCAGGGCAATTTTTATCTACAGGAAAATTTTTTAAAGCTTGAATGCTGAGGTTTATCTGCCTTTCCTGGCTGGATCTTTAGCACACAGCCACCAGAAAAAAGCCACTTAAAAGGACCTTAACTCTGTGTTATCACCAGTGTTTGACTGGGCTGTGCCAATGCCAGAAAGGCTGTCTGAGCAGGGCAACCAGTTTGACTGAAGTTCTCTCCTGAAAGGTGGCAAAAGAGAGAGTGGAAAATGCCCAAGTAATATCAAGGGACAGAAGTAACTATAGATTTTCAAAGGAGTTGTTGAAGGGGTGAAAAAAGGGAAGGAAATCTCTTCCTGATGCACAAAATGGATGGGTTGGGAAAATTCAGATGTATTTCACAGCATGGAATGAGGTCTCAGTTGTGCTGCAGTACCAAATGAAGGACGCTGATGTGAGACATCAGTCACAGATGCACAAAAATTCATTCCCAAAATCTTGTCCCAACCATTGCTGGTTCTCATGAAAAGTTGGCAGAAAAAAGGGATGAGAAGTAATTATATTTGTCTAGATCTGTGCATTTCTCCTGCTGTTAATAAAGGCTTGTAGTGTTTCCAAAGCCTTGAGCAAAACTTAGATGTGTGTCAGCTGGCTTTCACTGTCGTGGGGCTCAGAATTAACCAGTTCACAGCTTGAGAAGTGCATGCAGAGATCACAGAGGGGTGGGAAAGGGGCTGAGTCAGCTCAGAGGCTGCCACCTGCCACTGCAGCTTGCAATCTTCAGTTTTGGATTAAGCCCCAAAGTGTTCTTGCAGACCTCAAAACCAGGTCTGGAGTTCGAGGCACTGTCAGCAGATTCATGGTTAAGAAAATATGATCTAGCTGAGAAAGGAAGTTTCTCTGGTTAAATGTTTGCTCAGGGAAGATGCTGTAATGGATGAAGCTGTAGGGATGTTTCAGCAAGGACAACCCCAGAGTGGCATTCTAGGAGGCAGTGACTTTTGTGCATTTTCCCATTATTCTCTGCTGTAAGGTGACAGGTTTGTGCTGTAGTGAGGCATCAGAATTTGTGCTGTTGTATATCCCATTTGCTTGGTTTTAACATGTCCTTGTGTCTGTCTAGAAATTCTGCCTGAGCAGAAAAGAAGACTTTGGCTATTTGTCTCGGGTGTACTGATGTCCAACAGCCTGGTCAGGACAGCAATTTCTACAGGAGCTCTGGACCCCCAGGTATGCTGAAGGCAGTCTCTGAGCCTACACACAAGGGCTGTGCTGAAGTTTCCCCTGGATTCTGTGTGCACAGCAAAGGGGATCTGACACATGCAAAAGGTTTGGTGCATCCAGAACTTGTCACACTGTGTGAGTGAGCTTGGGTCAGGGTTCATTCTGTGTGCTCTGCACTTTCCTCCCAGATGCTGTGCACTGCCTGCCTGCATTTCTAATACTTTTTTTTTGTTGTTTTTTTCCCTCACAGGGAAATCTCAGTGAGAAACACAGATGCTTTAGTTACCCTTTCCTGATTCCTATTGCATTTCACATCTCAACAGTACTGGAAGGCTGAGATGCTCAGTAGGGTTCTTCAGATGTGAAAAACTATCAGATCCCTCCTCCATCACGACATGCAGCCACACAGAGGGTTTGGAGGTAGTGCATCCCCTCCCACAGCAGCACGTCTGGATCTGCTTGAGCCCACTGAAAATTCTCACTTTCCTATCTCCAGCCTCAGAAACAGCCAACAGCACAGCCCTGAAGCTGCACAGTGGGCAAATGACCCAGCCTCCAGTGGTGCTTTTAGGGAAGTGAAAAGGTGGTGGGCCCAGTAAAACAGATGAAACTTAAAAAGCAGAACTGGGGAAACACCGTTTTATTTCCACTTAAGGTAAATATGGGACTTCACTGCATCTCTAGCAATTTAAAGAAAGTTCAGAACTACTGTGACTAAAATATGAAGACATTGCCTTTTGCAAGCGGAAAAATACAAGTTAGAGAAACCTCTAACATCTCCCAGTGTCTAGGTAGGTTATAGTAATGATAAAATTAGGATTGCAACTTTTGGTTGTTTTCATGTGATAAACATTACAAGGGAATTTTGTACGTGTTCAAATTCCATTAAAGCCCAGCCTTGTTGGCTTAGATTTTATCTGTATCTAAATTTAATGTCCATGGCATTGCTAAATCACACTAAACTTCACCTACTCAGGAAACAAAGGGGGTTTAATTGAGAAAAGCAGAAAAGCGAGGTTTGCCAAACATCTATTTTGGGTAAAAATATTTAAGGCCCACATTTTTACCAACGTAATCCTTTTTACGTCAGTGAAGTTACACTAATGCAGAGTTTGGCCCTGATGTATTTGTACAAATATAGTATCTGGGATTTTGATGAGTACGTATTCATGCATTATTCATTGAGACAATGTGGAGAGGAAGAACGATGTCTGTGCATGAGGGCAGAGCCCTGAGCACCCCCAGTTCCTTTGAGGGTCCGCAGCAGGATGAAGGAGCACCTGTAGGGTCACCCCTGTGCTGCTGCCGGAATGTCCCCCTTCGAAGGGACTGGTTTATGTTTGCCAGGCTGTGGGATGTGTTACTGGCAATTCTGAAGAAATGCAGATGGAGGATATTTTTGCGAGTTTAAATTGAGCTGGATTTGAAAAGAGATGAGATTGCATCTTGGTTCTGCCACAGACCTTTTGTTTGAGCCTCTGTGCCTCTGTTTCCCCATAAAATGAGAATAATACTTCATTTTCCCTGCAGGACAGTGAGGCCTGCTGTGGGGAGAAGGAAGGGTCTGCTGTCCCATGTGCCCTCACAAAAGGGTGCACAGACCTGTTGTCATAGGACTGCATTCTGATATCCCAGGCTACACCTTTCTAGGAAATCCGAAAAAAGGAAAAACTGCATTTGGAAAACCACTGATTGAGCAGCAAAACTGACTGCTGCTGCAGCTGGCCCCACTGTGAGCTTCCTCTGCAGGAACTGAGCATAGATCCTGATCCATACCAAGTATTGCAGAACCATAGTGTGTTTGTGTGTATGTACATATACATAAATTATTATGCATGTTTGTATGAAGAACTAGTGATGTCTGTAACAATGTGTGTGGGACACACATCCAGCATGCTGGAAATGCCCCCAATCAAGCTTTGGCAGGCAGGAAAGGGGCAGGTGTGGGGCAGGAGAGAGGGCACGGGGCTCCTCACACCTCCGCAGGGATTCTCTTATCTCCAGGACATGTCCAGAGGAGATAAGAGAATGTCTGCACACTCACAGACTCTCACAGTGGAAGGGACATTACCAGGCCACCCAGTCCAACTCCCTGCAAGGAGCAGTGACATTTTCAACCCGATCAAATTGCTCAGAGCCCTGTCCAACCTGACCCGGCGCATTTCCAGGGATGGAGCATCAATCGGCTCTCCGAGCAACCTGCTCCGGTGTTTCATCACTCTCACACTCTTCCTCACACGGACTCCCAGCCCCGCTTGTTTCAGTTCAGCCCCTTCCCCCCGTCCCGTGAGGCAGGCCCCTCCGGGCGCTCCGGGGCCCGCAGCACCGCCCCGGGGCCGAGCGCGGCTCCCATTGAGGCCGGGCCCGGGCCGGCCCCCGCCACCGCGGGGCCAATGGGGGCGGCGGACGCGGTCGAGCCTCTCCCCGGCCTCCCCCGCGGCGGCCGGGCTCCCGTCATGTGAGGGGGATATAGTACTACGGGAGCGGGGCCGCGCTCCGCAGCCGCGCACCCGCCTCCCGGGGGAGCTGCGCCCGCCTCCCGCCGCCGCTCCGCGCTCCCGGCCGCTCCTGCCTCCGCGGGCTGCTGCTCGGGGCTTGCTTGGGTCTACTCCGGCGGGTTTATTGTGCGTGTGTGCCTTTTAAAATTTTTGATTTTTTGAAATTATTATTTCCATAATTATTTTTGCCTCTTTTTTTTTCTTTTTTTTTAATTTTTTTTTTTTTTTTTTTTTTTTTTTTTTTTTTTTTGTGGCTTGGTTGTGTTGTTTGGGTTTTTTCCCCCACCTCGTTCTCGTTGTTGTTGTTGTTGTTGTTGCGTTCTTCTGGTCGCCCGTGGCCTTTGCTGCCCCCCGGCTCGCAGAGGAGTTCAGGTAAGGGTTGATGTGGGCGCGGGGGCCGCGTCCCGCCGGCGGTGCCTCCGCGGCTCGGCGGGGCCGGGGCTGTGTCCCTGCTGCCGGCAGATGGAATTCCATCCCGCCGGGGCACCGGCCAGGGCTGGGGGCTGTTTGCGGGCTGCAGCGGTGCCGTGCCACGGAGTGACAGGCGGCGAAGGGGGGGGGTTCATTCCTGATCGTCGCGACCACGCTGCGAGGGGAGAGAGGCCCCCCAAAGCCTCCTGAAAAGGGATGGAAGGAATAAACAATACATAAATAATTTTTTAAAACCCTCAACAGACGGAACAAACAAAAAAACCACGATTAAAAAAACCCCAAACAAACATGCTTTGCAGCCATGGAAGCCTGGCTGTGCTGTGCTGGAGTGGCAATTCCGTGTGTGTGTCCCGCACCCCTTTCCCTGCCCAGCGTTATTGCGGGGTGCGCTCCGCCGGGGCCGCTGCCTGTGCCCGCTGCGGGTGAAGCGCTTCCTCCGGTGGAAGCCAAAGTTTGGGGCTGCAGCGGGACAGTTTTCAGAGAAGAACGCTTTGGGAATGTTTCTGCAGCTTCCCAGGAGCAACGGGTTTGGGAAAAACAAACCTGAGCACCCCGCTGTGTCCGGGGAGCAGCACAGCCACCTTGCGGAGGAGATGAGAGCAAATGGGTTTACTCCTGGCTCGCAGCTTCTTTTTATTATTTTATTATTATTTTTCTCCCCCTTTGTATTTCTCTTTTAATTTCTTAGAAGCTCTGGGCCTGCTTCATTGCCTTGTTTATGGCTCTCTCTGTGAAGCAGAAGTCAGCCTGAACAGATTTAGAACAAGAGAAAACCCTGAAGAGATTAGTCTTAAACTAGAAAAAGCTGTGGCAGTAAATGTAGGAAATGACTGTCATATATGCTGTGTGATCATTTGTGCTGGGCTGACTGTCCAGAAATGACAGGCTGGGAAACACATCCCTATGTTTCAGCAAGTTCCCAGCACTTTACATTTTAATGTTGCTCTGCGTCAAAATATGTCTTCTCTGGTTTGCTTTTTGTCATTATTTTTTTTTTTTAGCTGCCAATTAGATGGTCAGGTTTTAAACAGAACAACATGTTTTTGGCAGAAAGGACATCAAAACAACCCAGGGAACTCATAAAAAAAAGTTGGAGACGGTGGTGCTGCTGAACAGCTGCTGTATTTCACTCCAGGAGAGGCTGTTTGCAGTGACTGCAGTCCCACTATAGGTACTTACATTTCTAACATGTTTTCGGCGTTCCTAGAGATGAAAGTGTGTTATGGAAACAGCATCATTAGTTTTCACGGCCTTCACAGCCCCGGCTTTTTTTGGTTTTGTTTTCTAATCTTCTGGTTTTGGCCGTGTCTTCAGGCAAAGTAAGGATAAAAGTATTTTGGTTGTTAGCCTGGCCTTTAGGAAAAAAATATAGCCAGGGCCCGATCCTGCATTCCAGGCATTCTCCAAGATCTTCTTGGCTGTTCTGCAAGTTTTGAGAGCGCACAGAAAGCAGAACTGGCCCGTAATGTTCCTGGATCTATTTGGCTCTGACAGTCCTCGCTTAAAAAGCCTCTGTTCACATCGAGTGACATTGTTCCTTGTCAAAAGAGATGGGAAACAAGCCTGCTGGCTGTTTTCTGCTGAGGTAACCGGCCCACAGCAATTGCTAGGGGTTCATTATTGGTTTTTTTCCTTCCTCATTTAAGTCCTAATTCAAATTGCAGTTTAGTTCTATTCCCAGGGAAATATATTGATATTTTGATAGTGGTTTCCCAGCTCTTGCAAGCATTTAAAGAAATCTTGAACATTTTAAGTTGTTTTTTTTTAAAAGAAGTTCACCAACTGCTTTTGGTGCACGCAGAGCATGCCAGCTTTTCTTAGAAAAGCACATGTTGCAGTCCAGATTTCCCTCACAGCCCTATTCTTCAGAAGTTTAGGCTGGAATAATACAGACATTAGAGGAAGAATCAGAAACCATCTGAGGGCAAGTCTTCCATTCTGCCCTGTGTTTCTCAAGGCAGTCACCAGTTTTTGGTGCAAGATAGAAACAATCAGCTTGGGTGAATTCTTACCAGATGCCAATACCAATTTGTCAGAAGCAGATGGTGCTTTCTGTTTCAAAACTGGAATAACTCAGCTATGGGACTTCTGCTGGGGGAGCTTTCCAGCAATATAGAGAGTAAAAAAAAAAAGTGTGTTAGAAATAGTTCAGTTCTTCTGACTCTTTGCTTTTACTATAGGACATGATTATAGGCTAAGGTCACAAAACAGAGCCACTAACCTCTGTTTGAACTTCCTCGTGTTCAGCACATGCAGGTATTTCATTATTGGTTCAGAGGCACAGCTGACTGACGGGACACAGACCAGGAAAATGTGCAATCTTACTTTTAGTCTTTATTTCAACCTGTCACTGTTTCCTCCATGTGTCTGTGAAGGAGGAAGACAAGACTTTAAGAAATGTGGCTTCTTCCCCCTCCTTCCTTGGAAATATTAATAGATGTTGCCAAAGGGACAGAGCTCTTTAAGGGTGTTGTGTAAAATACCTCACTCTGTGTTCACTGCAGCACTGAGCATACAAACACCTTTTGATTTTTCTCCAGAGAAGGAAAGACAGGGCAAATTTTGGAGATTTTAGAGGCAGCAAAGATGCTCTGCAACAGCAGTAACAACCATCCCCTCGTCTGCACAAAACTGGGAGCTATTGACTATTCATGGCAAAGCGTCCACAGCGGCAGAGCCTGTGGAAAATGACAGCGTGTAACAAGATTGACTGGCATTTCCTTCACGCTGGGTCACATGCCTGCTAATTCACACACACACACCAGCTCATAGGCTGATCGAATGACTGCTATCTCTGCACTGCACATACCTTCCACAGAAAGAGTTGTTTTATTATGCACATGTGCAGCTCTGTTTCCAATCAGTCACCTTGAGCGAGTGACTGAGAGCCAGTGTTGGCTCCATCCCGAGCTCTCTGCCTTTGCTCTCTAAGGGACACAATCTCTGTCCGTAAGCAATTTCTGTTCTTTTCCCTCAAAGAGGCGGGGAATAAAATAATACGTAGATGTCTCTCCTGCCTCCCCCTCCCCAGTGGCCTTTCTAGAAAGTTTGCTTGCTTTAGATGATGAAGGGCAGGACAAGCGTGGCTGTCAGTGGGCACCAGGATGGCTATGCTGGCCAGGGTGGGGTTTGCTCTTGTGGGTTTGTAGCGGGATTGGGGCTCATGGAAACCGGGATTTGCGGGATGCTGCAGGTCGGGATGCTGCTCATGGTTTGTAGCGGGATTGGGGCTCATGGAAACCGGGATTTGCGGGATGCTGCAGGTCAGCATGCTGCTCGTGGTTTGTAGTGGGATTGGGGCTCATGGAAAGTGGGATTTGCGGGATGCTGCGGGCTGGGATGCTGCTCATGGTTTGTAGCAGGATTAGGGCTCACGGAACCCGGGATTTGCGGGATGCTGCTCATGGTTTGCAGCGGGATTAGGGCTCGTGGAACCTGGGATTTGCAGGATGCTGCAGGCCGGGATGCCGTGCAGCCCTCCCGGTGCAGCAGCTGGCTCGGGGCTCAGCTCAGCCCCTGCCCTGCAGAGAGAGGAGCAGAGCGGTGAAAGCAGCCACCAGCTGGCTGGCAGGGCATGGCAATTAGCTCAGTGCCAGCCTTATTAAGGACAGTGCAGGTGATGATGACGTTGGCACACTGATTCATTACATCTGGAGGGGAAAATCCACCTAGTAAATGCTGAAGCACAGTAAATATTTTTGGCTCCTGCCAGATTGATCCTTTCATTATGCTGAACAGCCTATATTTGTAGAACTGAGGAAGTTAAAAATAAGGTTGGTGGAAAGCTACAAGATAGGAAAAGGATTTGCATTTTATGGTCACCAGCAATAAACATTTTTTATTTGTTTCTTTTTGGTGGTAAAAATTTCGACACTTTATATTTTCTTTCCCATTCCCTTCTTTGGCTCTGGATTTCACTGCTAGGTGAAAGCTTGTTATTTATTTTCTCTTGCTAGTAATATTCTATAAGGGAGCTGTAAATCTGGAGCACACACACAGTTGGGAAATGATTTCTGACAGCATTCTTTTGCAAATATGTGGTGCAATCCTGCAAAACGCTTCAGCCCTGACAGTCCTCAGGGGGTGGTGCAGACCTATCAAAGCTTGTAGCAGCCTGTGTACCCAGGGAGACTGGATGCTCTGTACTTTCCTGTGGGCTAGAGGGCTTTATGAGTTTCAGTTCATGGAGATAAATGATTAAACCGACTTCTGACTGTTGCTGTTTTGTTTTTTCCTGCACTTAGGCTCTCACCTGAACTTTGGCTGCCTGGTATATGCTGTTTGGATATCCTTAAGAGATCATCCAGGAATGGTGGATCACTTGCTGCCTACTGATGAATCCTTTTCATCACCAAGATCTTCTCTTGGATACTTTGGGGACATGACAGCTGGCGTGAGGTCCTACCAAATGCTGCCCTCTCCCCTGTCAGAAGATGACAGTGACTCGTCCAGCTTTTGTTCTTGTTCCAGCCCTGACTCCCAGGTCCTCAGCTCCAGCTATGGAAGCACATCCAGTGCAGAAAGTCAGGACAGTATCTTAGACTATTTATTGTCCCAGGCTTCTTTGGGGAACACCACCACTGCATCATGGTGGGACAAAAGGAGACTTCAGCCAATAGTGAAAGAGGAGTACTTTAGATTGCCTGAATTTCCCGTGGATATGGAAGACTCAGGACCATTTCAGCCCACGCTTGAGGAGATTGAGGAATTTTTGGAGGAGAACATGGACTTGGAGCTCAAAGAAAGACCTAAAAGTGAGACCAAGGACTTGAGAGCTTGCAGCCAGGTTTCTGTTGCTTCACTGCAGCAAAAAGACCATATGTTACCCAGTACTAGTTTAAAAGAGAGTAAAAATGAGCAGTTGACTAGCTCAACGGAAGGTGGCCAAGCTTCAAATGGAGGAGTGACCCTGGAGAATGGAATACCAGTTATGCTCCAAATTCAGCCTGTGCAGATCAAACAGGAGTCCAACACCAGCCCCACGTCCCAAGGACCAGCACAGGAGAACATTAAAATTGCACAGCTCCTTGTCAACATCCAAGGACAGACATTTGCCCTTGTGCCTCAGATAGTTCAGTCGTCCAATTTGAACTTGTCCTCTAAATTTGTCCGCATTGCTCCCGTCCCCATCGCCGCCAAGCCAATTGGGCCAGGGGGCATGATCCAGGGGCAGACGGGAATCATCATGGGTCAGAAATTTCAAAAGAACCCTGCAGCTGAACTCATTAAAATGCATAAATGTTCTTTTCCTGGCTGCACCAAGATGTACACGAAAAGCAGCCATTTGAAAGCCCACCTGAGGAGGCACACGGGAGAAAAGCCCTTTGCGTGCACCTGGCCGGGCTGTGGATGGAGGTCAGTATTGGGATGAAGCTCTGTCCCCCTTCCCCTTCTTGCTCATTGACCTCACTTGCTGAGCAAGTAGGTTTGCACTCAGATTTATAAACTGTTTCTGTTGCCAGAACTTGTTTGGTTGGTTTGACAATGAAGACCTTTTTTCTTCCTGTTGGGTAACGCAGGGGTTCTGATAAATTAAATAGCACAGCATCACCTGCTGGCACCAGCAGCTTTAGTGTCTTAAAACAAATAAAAGCAGTCCATCATAATCTGTATTTCATTCTAGAGGGTCAGGTGAAGCTTGTTACCGCAGGTAAGACCTGGTGTTTGCATTGGTGTGGTTGCAGCACCAGCTGAGGCTGAGTGAGCTGAATGGTTTAGGGCAGAATTGCTGTGCACAGCCCTGTGTGGGACTAAATGTGGCCAGTGAAAGGCTGTGATAAGCAAGTATGGTTAAAAGCAGTATTCTGTGCACTTTCACAGAGAATGCACTCCATCCCACTCCTTCTTAAAATGCTGGCAGTGACACTCTGGCATACTCTGGGTTTTATTCTCTGTCTTGATTCAGAAAAATGCGTGGGTGCCACTCAAAGTTGCAAAAAAGCTGTCAGATGTAACAACATAACCAGAAGGCTGAGGTGGAGTTAAGGATTGCTTGAATGAAAGATTGCAGGTTTGATTGAGAAAATGTTTGGCAGAAGGATTTTTAAAAATATTTTATTTTATTTTTAATATGAATTGAAAAATTTAGTCTTTTTTAGAAGTATCAGCTTTTTATTTTAAGGAAGCTTTGACAAGTGCCTTCCTCCCTCTTTCCAGTTAACTTTGTTACTGGCTTGCCTGCTGGCAAGTGCTAATGTACAGCACCACAAATGATGATGGGAGAAAATATAATCTTAACTGCCTTGTGTTAAATTAAATTGAATTTCTTGCAAATAATATGCTGCAGAGCTTCAGTGAGCAATGTCTAATGAGAAAATGGGTTGTGATCATGGGCAACAGATGAGGTAAAAAGTAACAGGAGAATGTTGTGTAAAAATGCAAGTATGTGAGACATGCAGCAGTTAGAGATGGCTGGGTTGGTTTGAGGGAAAAGGTCACAGTGGAGCTGAACCCTCTGTTCTCCAGCTGGACCAGGCTGAAGTTTGTTTCTTAGAAGGGCTGGGGGGATCAGATTATGGTGGCTCTACAAACTGGGGGTGATTTGTTTCCTTTTGTCCTGCTGGCACCTCTCGTGGGCTGTTTGCTGCTCAGGGTACCCTCTCACCAAAGCTGCATTTTTCAGCTGTTTGGTCCCAGAAACTGTGGGCTGGGTGCTCCCAACCTGCAGGACAGGTACTTGCTGCTTTTTATTTGGCTGCCAGAGTATGTGTGCACAGGCAGCAGATGTGCCTGTGGGTGTCATGCTGGCTTCCCTTGCATGTGAGCACAGCTCTCCTTTTTGTGACAAATGTGTGTGGCAGTGAGGGTTTGTCTAATCCAAACTGAGGTTTGTACCAACGCTCCCAGGGACTTGTGTGGCTCAGGATCAGGAGCCTGAAGCATTGCCTGTGGGTGACCTTCTCCAGCTCTGTCTTATCACAAAGCTGGTGTTCCCCAAGATAAAAAACCAAGGGAATCGTTTAGGAAAAATAGTAAGTGATAAAGGTTGATTAAATTTGCAACAGGTGCCTCTCTTCTCAAAATGTGGCAAATGATTTGCTGCCTTGGCTGGAGGGTCAAAAGAAGTGCAGGTCCCACAGCCTGGAGCACCCTGAACTTTCAGCCGCCACAACTTTTTAAAGATGAGCCCAACAGGAAGGAGGAATTAATCATAATGAAGAACATATGTCTTGTCCACAAACAGCTGCTGCAAAGGGCTTTTCAAACTCTTGTGCTGTTTGTCTTATGGAATTTCACAGCCTGGGCTGCAATCTCAATCCCCAAAACCCCCAAACTTTGGAAGGGCTCTGCTGCAAGAGAAGAAGTTTATAGCCAGCAGGAGAGGCCTCCTGTGCTCACAGCAACCCTCAGCACCAGCCTGAGATTGCTGCACATCCCTGCGTGCTGCTCCACATCAAAGGCCAGAACCAACTGAGCATTGAATTACTCAGTTCCCTTTCATCAATAAACCATGTTTACCTTTGCAGAAGTTCAGTGAGAACTGTGACTTAAGTCTCACATGACTTAAGTCCACTGCATCTGGCTACTCTGTTTGCTCCCAGGTCTACATAATCTCAAATGAATTTAAGCACTAAAACCCTGCTGGACTCTGCTTTCCCCCTTTTTCCCTGCATTCTTGTGCTTGTGTATTTATTTTTTCACTGAAGACACTTAAGAGCTGATCTCACTGGAGATAGTAATTTCAAAACCAAAACAGAGTGTTGCCTAGCACAAAGTGCCTGAGCTCAGTGGGAGGGTTAAAGATTCCTCAAGCTCTCTGTGCATGATGTTTTAAATACACCAGGGTTGGAGTGTGTACCCAGCAAGCCCTTAGGATGGCTGGGGACCCCTAGCACCTCCCTGATGGGGGCTGAGCCCTGCTTGCTTGTGCCCTTCCTAGGCACAGGGCTGTTTTAGGCAGTCTGCAGGGTGGCGCTCACTGGCAGTGGCCAGTGACCCTTTGTGCTCCCTGGGATGGCTCAGGGCACTGATCTGTGTCATGCCACCTTCTACCTTTGGCACCCCAGGTTAGCACTGCTCAGACCAAAGAGCTGAGCTGCAGCTGTGTTATGGCACAGAGCAGAAGAAGCTCCTGCTTCCCTCCCTGGCATAGCACTGTGCAAAGCTGCAGCTGCTGCAAGGCTGGGGGTGAGGCCATGGCCTTTAAATGCCCCACTGCATCTTGTGGCTGGTGACAGCAGGGGCCACAAGCTCTGCCTGGCTTGGTAGGGAGGGTTTAAAGGCTTGTTAACATGTGGCCAGAGTGTGCTTGGGCAGTGCCACACATGGGGCAGGGCAGGCATCTTGCACTGGCTTTTCTTGCTGCTGCTGTGCAAGGGGATGGCAGGTGCTCAGGAGCTGTGCTGGTTCCTTGCAGGAAAGCTCTGGGGATAGGCAGGAAGGATCTGTCTAGAGGCTTACTCCCCTGTGGAGGAGAGGTACAGCCTGAGTTGGCCTCAGTGGCTGGTGGCCATGGCAGGGACCAGGAGTACCAGGCTAAAGCTATTGACCTTTCTTGCCCCATGAGCCACATAGGGATGTCCCCATGTGTCTTGGAGACGCAGGTTATGTCCTACACATCAGGGAGCTCTAGGACTTTTCTTCAAGGGAGATGTAGTTACAGTCCCTTGGGGTCCTGCCAGATAGAAGGATGAAGAAGGCTCTTTTTGTTGCTGTGGGATTTCCCAGATCCCTTCACTTGTCTTTTGAAGGAGGAATCCTTCTGGAAATGGCAGTGACAGAATAGTGAGGTATTCCTTGGAGCTTCCTTTTTTTTTTTTTTTTTTCCTTTGAATTTTGCATTCCACAGTGGATTATTTTCACTTTCTTTGGGTTGATCTCAGTGCCAGAGTGTGTTGCAGATATTTCACTGCAGAGCCAGACCGCCAGATCCTCCCAGCTTCCTCGTCCTAACCTTTGCGTTGTTTTTTTGTAAACACACAGACAGCTTGAGGTTTATTTCTGTGGGCTCTGTAAGTTGATCTTTCCGTCACTGCTGGGGAACAGTGTTGCAACATTCCTGCCTCTTCAGCTAAGGACATGGTTATGAGGCAGAGTGTATTTTTATCGGATGAACTCATCCAAGCTCAATCCTGACATGTGCCTCTTTCTCCCCCACCGTCCGTGCAATTCCCCTCAAAATGCACTTGTAAGGCCCTTGTGCAGGATTAGCCAAGTGCTACTGCACTTCTGTTCCAGATGGTGACCTTAATGGCCAAGGACATAGGACAGGACAACACAGCCACATCTGGTTTGGCTTCTTTGAGGTCTGTATACAAGAGGATGGCTCTTTGCAAAAGTGCTTTTCCTCTTTTCCCTGAATGTGGCACAGCTCTGTTCCTTGTCCAGCACTCAGTCTGCACAGGCAGCATCCTACACTCTCCAGGCCCACTCACCCATAGCCCTACCAGAGCATCCCTGCAGGGATCTGACCCTGGGACTAGCTCACTGCTAAGGACTTGGGGGAAATCCCTGACCCTGCTGCTCCTGGGTCCAGAATGTGGTTTTGGGAAGCTGTGGCTGAAAGGACCAGGGGTGTTAGAGAAAGCAAACATGCAGATAGAAGGTGTGAAGAGAAACTTCTGTCATGGCCCTTCAGGTGGACAGTTCCATAACAGCTGCCTCTTTATCATGGAGAATTTGACTCTTTCACCATGAGGATACCAGAGCAAGGAAAGGAAGAAAAGCAAGTGAACAGGTGAAAGAATCTCCCCTAGAAATGCCCCAGGGAAAGACGCCCACACCATACCTTACCCATGGTGAGTGCCTGGATCAGTTTTCCAGGAGCTGAGTGCTCTCTGGGGAGCGTGACCAGACTGAAGAGCTGCAGCAGTGGAGGAAACCCTTACCAGATTTCCCAGTGCCTATGCCCTGGTCCTCAACTGTTGGCGGGAGATCAGAGCTAATTAAAACCTTTATGTGGAAACTTACTTTTCTTGCATGAGGGATTTATTCATAGGAGCCCAGCAGTCCTGGTTTCTCCCTTTCATAAAAATAGCGAATTCGCTCTGTTGGTGATGTGATATTTTGCTCCAGAAGGGCACATTTTTCTACATGTTCTTTCCCTGATTTGTTCAGCTAGTGCCCATGACTTCACTTATTTATTGTAAATAAACAGCTGATACCATTTTTTACAAGCTCTCTTTCTGTGCTGCTCTTTGTTACTGCTCTGGCAACAAAACCCTTAATTGCCCTTTGTCAGGCAGCAAATTTTTTGTACCCATCTGGACAGGGCTGTTTTAGTGTGACATTGTTAATTAACCCTCTGTCTCCTAGTCATGTCCAAAGTGGAAATAGAGCCAGCCCTGCTCTTAAGGCCAAAGGATCAGCTCATTTGGCTTCCATAAAGCCTGTGGGATTCATGATGGCTATTTGGGGATTTTTCTGTGGAGAAGGAAAGGTGGAAAATATCTAAAATTCAAAAGATTGTGGAATACAGTTTTGGTAATTAAAGGCTCATTCTTAATTTAATTTACCCATGCTAACTATGCAAATCACTGTGCAAATGGGCATTGGGGCCCACCTGAATTTCAGCTGTTGGAATGCTGAGCATCTCTGGTGCTATTAATGACTCTTTATTTAGCCTGCAGGAGCACACATGGAAGCCAATTTTTCATCTGGATCTAAATAAATCATGTTGTTTCTAGGTAGCTCTGGCTGGAGTTTGCTGGAATCCCTATCAAACTGGGTGCAGTTAGGAGGTGTGCTGGTGTCAGTGGGAGCTTGAAAAAAGATTTTACGTGCAGGACAGTGGTGGTTGTCTCTGCTTGAGGAGTCACAGTCAAATCTGTGCTTGGATTTGCAGGAGAGAGATGGTGAGGGTGGCTTTGGAGGGACTGCAGGGGGATGGAGAGCAGCACTGTTTTTGTCAAGCTGTACCCATGCCATGGGGTCCAGGACAAGGCTGGTACCAATGCTGCCCCTGTGCATTGCCGTGAATCCAGGGCTGGTGGCTGTGTGTTTCCATTGTTGCTGGGACCAGCCCAGCCCTGCTGTGTGTCCCTTTCACCTCCTGGAATCTCCCAGTGACCTGGGGGGATGTTTTTTACCTCAATGTGCGACACTTAGCGCAACAAACCCCCATTTCTCTGACGAGGCCTCTCCTCTCTTGCAGGTTCTCCAGGTCAGACGAGCTGTCCCGGCACAGGCGCTCCCACTCGGGGGTGAAGCCCTACCAGTGTCCAGTGTGTGAGAAGAAGTTTGCTCGCAGTGACCACTTGTCCAAGCACGTCAAGGTGCACCGGTTCCCACGCAGCAGCCGCTCCGTGCGCGCCGTGAACTGACGGCTCCTGCCCTGCCTGCCCGCCGGCCGTGCCCAGAGCCACCACAGCACTTTGCTCACCACCACCTTCCTAGGGATAATTTATTTGTCTCCACAGAACAGTCCATGCTGTTACTTGATACCACCGTGTTTGGGTGCCCCCATGTCCTTCAAAGATGATTGGAGAATGAAGCTCTTTTTGGGTCAGGGGAGCGGGGCGCTTCTTCCCTTTTTTTTTTTTTTTTTTGTTTTCTTTTAAGGATATTATTTTCCTTTCCTTCTATCTGTCTCTCCTTTGCTGCTGCTTCTTTTGGAAATTACAGTGTTTTATTTTTAGCTGTTTTCTGCTGCACAGGAAAATGTAAAAGTTGCTTGCTGCTAGTTAATTATAGCCCTGGCATTCCTGAGGGCTTTGCTCATGTACAGGCCACTCATTGTGAGTTTTTATTAAGCTGCTCTATTTGTCCAGTTTGGAAACAGCAAATTCCTTTTGAAATGAAAACAACTCCTTTGTTTTTGGGTCGCCTGAGCCAAGGATTTGTAGGGGCTGGCCATAGGAGGAGGAACAGTGGGAGTTGGGGCTAGGGGGAGACAGGGCTTGGAGAGCACTGGAATGTGCCTCCATGCATCTCTGATTTTCCCAGCTCACATTTACCTTTCCCTTGGCTGGGTTATATATATATGTTTATGTATACATATTCATACATACATACATACATATATATATATATATATATATATATATATATATATATATATACATATATATATATATTTATATATATATATATTTAAGGAAAGACACATCCCAAGCAAATCCAGAAGCTCAGGCTGGGTGGAATGGCTTGGAGTGAAGCCTCTGGAACTGTGTGTGTGCTTCTGTCCCGTGCTGCTGAGGGATGCAAGGATGCCCAGGCTCCAAAGGACACTGCTTTCCTTTGAGGCTGCTTTGCAGCATCATCTGCCTTTAGCAGAAGAGCTGTTGTCTGCCCACGAGGCAGCACAAAGGTGTTTGTGAGAGCCTCTGAGCTCTGCTCTGTCTCTGCTCCTGCCCTCTCGTGTGATCTGGGGTGAGAAAGCACAGCCCTAGCCCTGGGGGTGCTGGTGAGCATCATCGCAGCATCCTCACATCCACTGAGAGTCAGGGCCTGGCTGGCTGGAGCTCAGTGTCTGTGTGCTGGCAGGGTCTGCAGGATGTGCCTATGCCCAGGGAGAGTGGAAGGAACCCCGAGCTGGTGGGACAGTGCTGTGACCCCGAGGTCTGGGGGTGATCCTCAGTGCTCATCCTCTCCCTCCCAACAGCCATGTCAGAGCTCCATGCAGCTGGGGTGGGCACATGGGTGAGAACAGCAGCCAAAAGAAACAAATTTGTGTGATAGCTGGCTAAGAAGGGAATTTAAGCAAATAATCAGATGGTAGCAGGCAAGTGATTTTATTTGTGTTTCTTCTTGTTTTGTTTTTCCTTTTGAACTCTGGCGATTGTACGAAGCTTTAGAAGAAAATAGGATTCAGTAATTAGGGATGATTTTACAATGGATGTTGCATTTCCTTTCCATTCACAGACGGCATCTGTTTGTCTTTTCTGTTGGCAAAATGGGAAGGAGGAAAGTGTGATCCTAGAGCTAGGCAGAGCAGGAGCCCTTGCTGTGTGAGAACAGCAGGTCTGGCTAAAGTGAATGCATTCCTTTTGTCCTCTAGAAATTAATATAAATGAACTATCATCTATTGACTGGTTTATATCACATCCTATGAATGTATGTAAATAAAACTGTACATAGATGCATATCTATATAAAATATCTTTTAATAACGTATCAAATTTGTGTAAATTGGAAACAAAAATACCTGTAAAGCCAGTGTACATAAGTTACAATTCTGTATATTTTCTTTTGTTCTTCATAAAAATATATTTACTTTGACAATAAAATGAAGATGGAAATTTTAAATCCCTCCTTGAAATTATTATTCATTAATTTCCTTTATAGCCAGCTCTGAAATTTTGATTCACCTGGACGTAACTTTTCAGGTGCTGTGTAACAGGGAGAGGATGGATCAGTTCTGAAGTTTTCCTCAGTTTTTCTCATCTCAGAAAGTTCTTGGAAGGTGTGAGATGTCTGAGCTGTCTCTCTTCACTGGAGCCCTCACGCCCTGCTTGGCAGCCACGCTGGGACACAAACGCCTTCCATGGCTCCTGACTGCTGTGGAACAGCTCTACAGATGCAGTAAAACAGTGGTTAATAAGGTAGAGCAAGCAGGCTTTGAAGGAATTCCAGCTTTAGTGATTAGTGTGGAGGAGGAAGGGCTTCAAGGTCTGCTTCAGACGGTGACGGTGACGCAGTGTGTGATCCAAGACAAAGGACTCCATTGCCTGTTCTGCACTTCCCTTTCTTGTAAAAGGGGGACAATAACACATGGCAATGATACTGTGGGACTTAATTTGCTTTTGTGTGATCCCTGGATGGAAGGAGCCAGCAATGAGGCCAGTAGTCACAGGATTAGATTGTTAAAGGAAGGCCCAGCATGATGGTCTTGGCGCCAGGGCACCTCAGTTGGCTCTGCTGCAAATCCCACACCTGGCAGAGAGATGTGAAGGAGCTGTGCTAGGAAGAATTGCCTCAGGCCTGAGGAGAAGACGCCCTGTTCTGCAAAAGCCATTGCTTCCATTTGTAACAACAGGGGCATGAACACCCTGCTCTCGTGACCTGCAAGCTGGGACATGCCTTGCACTGTGCTTCTGCTTGCTTTGGCCTCCGCTGGAAGAAGAAACCAGCACCACAACTGGTGTTAAAGTCACTTCTGAGTCTCCATGGGAGCAATGGTGCAGTGGGTCCAGATCTTCTCCCAGCAAGAATCATTGTGACACTAACAGGCACTGAGGGATTGAAGTCTCTCCCTGAAGAGCAGCCACCAAAAAGCGCCAGCTGATGAGCCAGGGCTCTCCAGACCCCTGATTATTTTTCCCAGAGAATCCTTTTGAGTGTGGCAAGAGGACCGAGGGATGAGGCAGACTAAGCTCTGTGCAATCCAGGTTGTTGTTACCTCCTGAGGTGTAGCTTGAAGACCAGAGTGCTCAGGACAGTGGTTTTAAGTTTTAATTAGCAAGCCTGCACCAAGAGGATCTGCAATTCCCTTCTGTTCTCACCCTATCCACTTCATCCATTAAACCAGCTGCATTTTTATAACCAGCATCTCAGTCTCTTCCCCATCTCACCTGGAGTTCTGATATTGCTGTAAAGTTGGGCAATTCACCCTGAAGGCGTTTGGGGCAGAAGTTGCTATTTTTCTGCAAGAGGTAATACTTAAATCTGAAGTGGAGTAATGCAAAATGCCTACTGCTGGAGCACAGCAGGGCAGAAATCTAAGTTTTGTTTTAGCCTGTAATATTTTCCATGAAATGTGTATTCTCTCTCTCTTTTCCTTTCTCTCTTGTCTGTTTTAAGTATGGGTTTTGAGTGTGAATTGTGTGGGTTTTTCTAGTTAATACCTAAGGAAATGTAAGTTTATGTAAAAGTTGCAATATTTTGCTGAAAAGAGCAGGGCCATGTTTGCTGTGAAGGCAGAGTTAGTTTTGCTTGAAATGATTGACATTTCCAGAGTTTTGTCCCAAAAAAGCAGAGATTTCCAAGAGAGATTTTGATGTTTGTTTTAGGTGGAATTACTGGCCTGGCTGGGCTTTGTGGATTCACAAGAAAAATGTGGCCCTACATTAAGCCTGACTTAATCCACCTGAAGATAAACATATATTTGAGTGTTTTAATGCCACAACTGGATAAGTTACCCCAGCTTCGGCTTCTCTGCATGGCAAAGCACAGTTATACACATGCCTAAGTCTCATTGACTTCAAACCTCTGTAATTTGGTTTCTGATGTGTCTGCAGTGGTACAGCCTTCACAAAATGATCGTGGTCTGGTTCCTGATGCTTGCTAGAACTTTGTGTGTTTTAAAAGGTTTGTGGTCCCTTTGTAGAACCAGTGGTGAAGGAGTAGTCTTGGGACAGGTAAGGAGCTGTCAGCTGGGGAGGTTGTACCCAAGGTAAGGACTAAGCAGGAGGAATGGGAGTAAAGTGATCTTTCTGTAAGGTGACCTGACTTCTGTGACCTGTGGCTAAACATAGGGCAGTGCAGTGATGAGTCTGAAACCACAGAACAGCACAGAGGGGAAATGGGAGCGGAACCAAGATGTCCTAAACCTCCTTTGCCCCAGACAGTGGCACAGACCACATGCCAGCGACACACAGGAGGCACAGAGTCACAGCACACGTGAGACATCAGATAAGCAAAGAAGGATAAGGACGGGACATAGGTAAAGTCAGGTTGCACTGATAATGTGTGCTTTTGGAAAGGACGCCAAGGGGAGAGGAACGAGGTCCTGCTTGCTGGTGTGGCACACGTGAGAGTCACCAAGGTAAAGCTCCCTAGGAAGAGTTCTGCCCCCTTCAACTGTGTTATGTGGGGGCTTTGAGGTGGTTTTGAGGAGAGCTGCACCCCCGTGGAAAGCAAACCAGCCTGTGGAGCAGGCTATTGTGATGGAAGGCAGCAACTCTGGCCAGTCCCTGGGGGAGTGCTTGAGTTTAGATCCTGTGATATTTGCAACAGTCTTCTGCTTCCCACCCTCCCTGGGGGTTGTTTTCACTGAAGTCCTTGTGCCAGGAGCCTTCTCCTTGTCTAAATGGCCACTATACATTTAATCCAAACAACCAGGTGACTCGAGCACAAAGGCAGTGGCAGTAATCCAGAGTTAATGATTACCCTGGGCCCCTTGGGTTATGTAAGCCTGGATGTGCTGTACTGGGCTGGGACCTGCCCTCCCCGTCTGGGAGAAATACCAAGGGCCTGCCAACACACATAGAAAGCTCTTTGGAGCCAGCTGGGATTTTCCTTTTGACAGCACCTATGAAACCCGTTATTCACTCAGTTCAGCTATTGCCATGCCATGCTTGCTTGTTATTCAGAGACGTTGCTCTTAAAGAATGAGTTGTGCTAAGCTCCCACTGGCTTCAGCACAAGCCAAAGACAGCGACTGCCATGGCTTATCCAGGGGAAAAATTTCCCAGCTAAAGCAGGAACTGCAAATCCCAACAGGTCCTTGGCTTCCCCTGCCCATTCCTGCTGGGACATTTGTGTTTTTGTGGCTCTTAATCTCTTGTTCCATGGGTCTTAGTTTTGTTCTTGCCTATTTTTTGGGGGGTTGTGGGAGGGGTGGGAGTTGTTTGAAGTTGTGTGATGTGTGAGAAAAAGGTAATGAAGAATATTCAAAGGGTTGAGGCATAATGCCTCTTCTGGTTAAATCATCCAGATCATGAGGTTTGCAGCTCCTCAGTGCTCAGTGTTTCACAGGTCTAAGCTTTCATCTGCTTTGCCAGATCAGTGCAGGTCTTCCTCCAGCTGGAGCAGGAGCCCATCCTTCATCTCTTGCCAGGTTCCCTACTATGCTGTACTTTTCTGGTAGTTTTGTGGTTAGGCTGGCTCAACGCACTTGTAAGTACTTGATCTCCTAAAGAGATAAGGCTGGAGGAACCTCAGATCTTGGAGAGTCTATTGCAGCGAGCTCTCATCAGATCACTCATCCTGCACTCACACATCCTGGGGAGCATGTGTGCCTTGGCCAGCATCTCACTGAGCCCCAGACTGCTGTACAATTACTCTGGGGACTAGAACAACATCTTACAGGGCTTGGCCATCATGAGAAGAGGGCATCTCTGCC